GCTCCATGATTCGATGGGAGACCTGGAATTTTCTATCTAGCATTTTTATGTGCTGTCGTAAACGCCACAACCAAACATCACAATGTAGATCTTACCTGTAAGAGGTATACCATTAGGTAAACGGGGAATGATAGGACCTTGTCCGGGTACAATTGTTGGTAGCACAGATGGCGCACCTACCAGAGGTAGCACACCTGCAGGACCTGCAAAGCGCCTCCTTTCTTGAGCTATTCAACGCTGTAACCAAGAATTCAGGAGATAAATTTTACCTAACGGTCCTGGTCCAGGTGGTCCCATAGGTCCTCGGAAATTAGGATTGATAAGAATTTTTCCTCCCGAAGGTGGGTACAGACCTTGCGTATTCAGCGAGAGTAATGGAGTTGGTCCATTTACCATACCTGGTCCTTGCTGCATGCGCATCTAAAAACAGGACCTCATCAAAAAGAGAAAAAAGATTTTATTGATGTGCCTAAAAATACACTCACGGGTCCACCATACTGCATGTTGGGACCACCCCTATAACGATGCCCATTATTTCCGCGACCACGACCATTTCCTCGTCCACTGCCATTGCGCCATTGTTTTTGATTATTGTTATGATTCCGATTATCACCACCGCTTTGACGCCTTCCTTCCACTTTATCTATGTTGTTTGTGCTAGTGGGTGGTGTCTGCAACATAGAAATTCAATGAAATTCCTAGGCTTGCGATAAACAATGAGTAGTCATCAGAAAATTCAAAATGCGTTCCACAGCCCTCATCAGCGTCGATTATGATATCACTCAAAATCCTTCGAACACCTACCGCATCAGCAGGTTTTCTCTCTGAAGTAAATCTCCCTGTTCTCTCTTCTTTATGTTCCTCGTCGTCATCCTCTTCGTAATCTAATTCTTCACGTTCGAAACTCTCATCGACTGCTGCAGCAGTGCTAGTCTCCGTAACAAGATTATCCTGAACAATCCAGCATATATACGCTTTGCCTCATTCTGAGACACATAAACATGGAAATGGTGAAACTGCGCACAAACGAATCTGCCTCCTTCCAAGTATCCAGTAACAGGATAAACACTTGTGAAATTCCGTAAATTCGTTGCGCGAACACACTCAACTATTCAAATATCATAGGTCAGGTTTTGGAACACCACGTAAACACTGTACAATTATTTTTTATTGTGTCTTAATGATGACCGGACCTCAACTGCTTCTTAGCAATTAGTGTAACTAAATTTCGGCAGATCTAACCAACTCGAGCTTTCTTCAATAATTTTTTGCGTGAAGCAAGTTGCTTCACAATACCACTCATGTTTTCAGCAAGATGTTTGAGGCTTCAGAACTTTCCCGTTTCACGCTTCCTCTTTACTCACATGTATCATCAACTTCACTCAACATCACATGATTAACGGGATTAGCGACTGTTTAGGAAGCAAAAACTGCCCGACTAGGCCTGAGAAATGCATAAGAAATGGTTGTGAAGAAAAATGGTGGATAAACTCTAGATGATGAGCGGATTTAGATATTTACTTCCCTTTAGACGAGTAAGGCAAGCATGAAAAGGACTTCAAAATGATGGTTGTCAGGCTTAATTATTTGACAGAAGCCTTGTGAAAAAATCATAAGATTGATTGTGTAGTGATCTAGCTAAGTGGGAGATAAAGCGTAGAGCAATGAGATAGTTAAGGATATGATCATCATAACAGCTACTAGGACAAAGACCTTACCATGTAAAACTAAAAGTCCACTGCATTTGTCACTTCGCGTCAGCTCATACATTCCGGAACAAATAGCATGCTTCAATGCAGTGGATTCCATCCTGTGATGTACGCTTGATATGTTTCAAGTCCACTAGTTTAGTCTGTATAGTGAATGAAGTTTCTCTTTTTATTCATCAAAAATGACACACCCAGACTACTTGGAACCATGACTTAAAATATGATTTCGTAAAATGGCCCACGGTGTGCTAAAACGCACCAGCTCAACATAAATTTCTAGATTCCAGATGCTCAGCATCTCTTGAACATAAACATGGAAAACTTAGATGATAGACGCTAAGAAAGAGCACATCCGCTCCAACAACTACGACAGAGTGAGTGGCTGTGGTTTACTTCCACCTATGGATTATAAAATGAGCTCTTGAAAGTAATAGATTGAGGGTGACTGGTGCTCGCATGTAGATGTGGCTGGGTTCAACTCTCGTTGCCGAAAATCAACACAAAAGTTACCTTATTTCACAAGAATAGAGCGCAACACTTTTTTCTACCTCCGATCCGCCCGAAAACGCCGAGAATTTCCCGACAAAAGAAACAATAAGGTGCTGCGCATCACGGAACGCGTCGGTTATACTTCATGCAAAATCCGTTGCTCAGCATGCTCGGAATACTTTGTCAGCGTCTGTAAGGAAGATTCAACGCTCATTCATCAACTTATAAAAACTGTGCGCCATCGCAATCGAGATCTGCGCGCGGTGTGCTATTTAAAGCCTATCAAATCCTGTACGGCATCGCGATCGTTTCGCGAGGCGCAGCGAAGCAACTCAGTTGCTCGCATTAAGAAACGTAAAATGCTCGCATTAAGAAACGCAAAAAAGAAGTACCGGATGTAAGAAATTCAAAACGGTCATTTGACCGTGAATACTGAAAGTTAAAGGAGGGCCTTACAGTCGTCGAATAGTGATAAACTCCAATTTCACCCTTTTCAATGACCTCCTCCTTCCAAACATGTGCACTTGTAATGAAAATCATGTCGAAGTCTGACATTACAAAAGAAGTTCTATTTAAGGTTCATACTGATGCAGGAATAGCCCTCCTGATGCGAAACTTCGCTCTTCCGCCTTGCGAACTATGCAA